CCAGCCCAACTCCCATTTCATACGTAGCGGGGGATGTCAGGGGAGCGCTTCTTACCTTTGCACATGAGATGGGCTACTGCTGCATAGTTGTGTTGGGGCGGGGGGGCAAATGAGCGGGGTGCAAATTGGCAGTGTGTAGAGGGGTGCGGGAGTGGCCGGCGGGGATTGCGGTGTGAAGTGTTCAAATAGTTTGGCAGTCTGTGCACATCTGAGGTGAGGATAACGCAGGTGTCTCGCCTTCTTGCTGCTGGCCCCACGCCCCCTAAAATTTGCCACCTGCATTCCCTCCCATGCTACACGTTTCCAGAGGAGACTGATTTGTACGTCTGTACCTCTTGTGTTGAGCGAAGAGGCGAAAATCCAGCAGAGTTGCATCATACGTGGAAATGGTTGGAAGCAAGAAGGTGAGGTGGGAGGCGAGCGAGCGAGTCATTCGAGAGCTATGCAGTTGCATGCCGGGGCTACGGCCCATGGGACCTGCTTTTGCACAACGTGTGCGGTACCCCATACGGCAGAAACGTCGCAGCATCTCGCGCTTGGTGCTGAAAAAGGTCTCTGCAGTGGGCGTGCAGCTTGCTTTGCTTTCATCACCTTACAGTACTCTCAAAAGACCAGGCAAACACCTAGAACAAAATTCGTGGTAGGTGAAGGGCTATGGTCCCCATCAATCCCCGAATTCGCTGAGCAAGACACACGCCGCAACCCAGTACAATTGGTTTAGCACCCCCCCAATCCTAAGAAATGCTGAACAGCCAAACACCATCTCAAGAAGGGGGCAAACACCCAGAATAGCAAGCCACCAATCCAAAACGCTGTCAAGTTGGGTTAGTGTTGACAAAATTAGGGCATATGAACACGCTTGCTTGCCAAATCGTCTAGTCTTGTGCGCTTGAGAATCTGCAGCGCATTACCTGATTAATCTTACACTTGAAGCAAGCATCAGGTTGCAGGTCACCACAAAGCTCGAACTTGCCCTGCTGATCTCTGAGCCAAACTCCTTCAGGAGAAGCCCAGCCCTGCATAGCAGTGCTTGGTTCGAATTTGGCACCCTTACCAGCCATCTTGTCTTTGGCACCTTTGTCCCTGGGGCGGGCTGAGCGCTGCCCTGTAAATAAACAGCCTTTCTTCTGAAGGTCGAAATCTGACAAATCTCCCCACTCCAGCGATGTTATCGCCACTGTCAATCGATAAGGCTCTCCGCCTTCGTCTGCCCATCCTGATAAAGTTTGCTTTTCAGCACGCAACAAACAATTTGAACATGTCTTCACAGTTCTCACTGCCGCAGCTACTGCTGGTTGATGGGGCATGAAAGCAGCTAAACCAGCACGACAACGAGCAAGGTCGAGACATTCGAACAATGAGTTTGCCAAGTTCAGTCGCGCACGCAACTCAGGCGCCAGCCGTCCAACCAGCCTGCTGCGCTCTCCGCCAGTTCTTCATTTGTGGCTGGCTTGCTGGAGTAGTGCGGGGGCCGAACCAGTCGAAGCTTTCCTTGCCCCCCTTCTTGCCAGCCTCTGACAAACTGACAAAAGCCAAGATCGACCTCTGAGCCTTCAGATTTCGACTCGGTGAACGCCTCGAATGCTGGAGAGTGCTCCTTAGGACAATTGATCCAGCCGCCTGTACAGCTACCCACCATCCAGCAGCCTGACCTTGGCCGCAAGCGCTGCGCCCTTCCTGAAGCCACTGCAGTGCGTGTTCGATCGATCAAGCTCAACTTGTACAGCTCTAGCCTTCTTGCTTCAGTCACGTCACTATAGCCCACCTCTTGTCTTTTCCGCAACGCGGAAATAGCGCGTGCGCTGAGTGACTGCCACTGGCCTTTGCTGATTTCCACTTCCCATTGTGATTCAGCTCCAGGCGAAACGCTCATGAATCCATGTTGCAGCGCATAACACACCCGCAAAGCTCCACCTTGCGCACAATTGCTATTTGAGATATCATGCATGTAACATGCCATGTGGCAAATAAGAGGCACCATATTTCTGATTGTCAGGTGTCCTGTAATTGGTAGCCAAATGGCTTGAGCCAATTTTCGGCTGCCAGTGCGTGCGCCTGCTCGCTGCTATCCCGAACCTAGTATCACCGCTGGACAGACTTGTCTTTCGGTCAACACTTATTACCCATTTTCAACACATTCCGCTCACTGCCTCACCACCCTTGACGAAGTAGGCCCACCGCGCTATGCTATTGTGCGAACAATAGATCTTGAACTCTTCAATTTCAGCTGACACCACTGAGTATGGCAAGCGAAAATGCAGCACTGCGTGCTGGAAAACTAGAGCGATGATCGGTTCACGGGATAGTGAAACCTTAGCTACGGCGTCATACTGCTCTCAGCAATGACTTGCCCGCATGTGCTTCCCAGCGGCGTTCTATCAATGTCGGCTCTGCCAGTGGGTAAGGTCTTCGTGGAAATGACGGCCTGTTTCTTGGAAACTTCATGCGCGCGCATGTACAGAGTTCAGCCACGGCAGCCTCGGTGTCAAGCGCAGACCGATTGAGCTCATCCCAAATTGTCCCGCGTTTTGGGAACGGAAGCGACTGCCACTCCTCCTTGTATGGCTTTGAAGGTGTGCACAGGCCGAATTCTTCAAGTTCAATGAGCTGGCAACATGCCTAAACTGGCCACAGCAATCGCGATTCAGGATCCCCTACCCTTTTTGCAGTTTCTTTATGCTTCTGCTTCCACAAATGTTTTTCATATGGGCTGGTCCATCTCGCAAACTGGTCCTTGGAAAACCAGCGGGCATCAGCAATCTCACCTCGTCGCATATTGAACAGCATGAACATGATACTGGCAAGCTCTGGTCATCCAAACCAAGCCTCGCGCTTTCACAGGATTGAATGTCATTTGTTAGCGCCTTGCACTTGACAACGAAGTAAATGTTGCTTTTGCCAGCCTCGGCCACGCTTTCAACCCTCATGGAAAAGTCTGCATTCGCAGCGCATTTCACTCTGAGCGAAAAGCATGAGCGAGATTTCCGCCTTGGCGCATTGCCCGAAAAAAAAGGTCACTCGTTATGGTCTGAAGCCTACATGTCACAATGTGGGCACTTCCAGTGCACGGCAAGCAGCCGTGGCTGACTGTGAAAGCTCCAAAGTGCTCAAAAGCAGCTTTGATGCCAGTCTCCTCAATGCTCTGCCAATTCTTGGAGCCCAAAACTAAGACAACCCGTGTGACCTTATGTTCTTATGTGTCCTGTGCCTCTGTTTGTGTGTGTGTCTGCTGTTAGCACCTCGGCAAAAGCATGCGAGCCGCATTCACTGCCAAAGTCATCATTGACAAAGTAGAGAAATCTATGCTGTCTCAGCAGTGCTGAAAATACGGAACACATCTATCCTTTAACTTTATTCTTTCTTGTGCTGGTTCGACCCTCTCCTCCCTGACTTCTCGCACGGCGGCTTCGTGGATTTCCTGCGCCAGGCTCTTGCAACTTGCGCAGTTCCCGCGGGCGCGAGGCCTCCCCGGGATCTGCCAAGCCAGTTGGGATCTTCCAAAATCCAGCTTGAGCAGCCGGCCCAGACTTCTCTCGGACGAGCAAGATCTTGCCCTGGCACCAACCAGAAACTCAAGCACCGCCAAGTCTGTCTCATAGAAAAGAAGAAAACCAATGCCTCGTCGTTGGTAACAACTGCGCCGACTCCAATTGTGTGGCTTGCATTGGGTGGCAAGGTGCTTTGCGAATCCTTGGGCAACCTTACGAGGCAATGGCGCGACAAACAGAGGGCAAAAGCAGGCAATGACTCGCAATGAGTAATGAATTGTCAAAGTAGGCAGATTCTGTCTGGGTTGCCATTTGGTCAGCATCACATGACCACGCTCCGCCTTAATGCTGCTCAGAGTGGATCAGAGTTGTCTACAAAACAACCTATCATGTTACAAGACTGTGTGCAGCAAGCCTGGCAATAGTCCAAGTCTCATGGTGAAATTCGAAACCAAACTCGGCGGTTGCAATCGGAATGAGGTACGCCAGTTCAATGCCCAGTTGTAGCCACCTGTGACTCAAGCAGGCGGGCGACTCACTGGCTGAGATGCACAAGCAACGCAACAAAGGAGCAAGCATTAAACGACTGTGTACTATACGCGCCACAGCCGCGTCATACTTCATGTGGCAAACAACATCACACAACCCTTCACAGCATCACACTCTCTGGGACTGGGCCCTCCACACGCCACGTTTCTGCTGTGTGGACCACTCGTCAAGCGACGAAGCCTCGTGACAAACTAGTTTGTCTTGTTAGTCAGGACATCATGAAAGACTGCCGAGAAACTAGCAGCTGGCGAAATGCTGATTCTTCTCTGGGAACTCCAAGAGGGTCTATGATGACCCCGCCTTGGTGAACCACACATGCCACCGTGCTACACTTGAAACCAACTTGAAGCTTCTAAAACCTGGTTCGTGGCATGGTCCTCGTGATCGGTCATAATAGCACTAATTATCCGTCTATGTCCGGCTACGATGTAAGCCAACTTGAGACAAAAGCATTCAAAACGCAGCGATTTTCAAACATGCCCTGGCGCGGCATCTCAGCATCTGGCCATAGAAGTCAAGTGTGCAAGGCATAGTCTTGCTGCATCCCTGCGAGGACCCAGCTATCCAAAGCGCAGTTGCGGCAGCCTGAACAGCATCCATCAGCATCTCAGTCTTAGACGACGAGCCTGCCTTCTTATCATGTGCCTGGGAGGCCCCCGAGCATCTAGCTGACTTCAGATTTGCGCCCGCAGATATGGCAGGGATGGCCTCCAGAAAGTTCCAGAGTTGAAAGCACAAATGCTAGGTAGCCATCTGCCTCTGCACTAAGGAAGAACGCAAGAAACAAAAACACGCAATGCTAGCAAAGCACTTAAATCAAAGTGCAAGTAAAGCAAGCTGGGCAAGGGGGCAAGCCAAAACAAGCAAAAACAGAGCAAGGCAGGGCAAATCCAAGTGAACAAGCCAATGGGACCACAGCAAAGCAAAACAAGCAGAGCTAAGTTCGAACAGGCAGGCTGAAGCAAGGCAAGGAAAGGCGAAGCAAGGCAAAAACGCGGAGCAGAAGCAACCAAAGCAGTTCAAGAAGCAAGGCAATGGACGAGCCAGCCAAGCAAGAAGCAACGACAGCAATAAACATCCTCGATCAAGCAAACAGAACAGACGGAACAAACAAAGTAAACAAATAAACTAAGCAACTTGCAGCAAGCAAGCAAACAAACCAAACAAAGTAGACAAAACAAACACAAGGCAAAGCAGAGTCACGACACAAAGCTAAGATCAAATTAAGCAATGCAAACCTCCAGCTAAACACATCCGTCAGCTTGCCAAGGCACAGTTGCAGTTAGGCAGGCGCGAGAGGCTGCTGCCAATCTTCGCCAGGCACGAGCCATGACGCTACCAAGCCTTTGCTAGTTTCACGGAAACGGTGCGTGGGGGGTAGGGGGAGGGTCGGCTGGGGGTGGTTGGAATGCCACCAACACAGCACGGTCTCTGTGTGGACAAGCATGCGGCGCCCTTAAGACTGAAGGCGCTCAACGTGTTAGGGCGTTGCGTAACATGACAGGATTCAAACTCAGCATTTGCGGGCCGCTGGCTTTGATCTCACTAGTTTTAAGCCGTTGACAGCATAATGAACGTGCCAAGTGTGCTCATCAATCGTCTTTTCATGGCAGCAAACCGGTGCGCCACAGGTGAAACGGCCATAGCGGCCACACTGCCCACGCATCCACTTCTGGAAAGCGCCCCTTGCCGCCTTGCGCAACATCAGAGCATCAGCTTTGCATTGACCTGTCAAGGCAGCCAGCGAGCACCCAATATCATCAGCACTTTGGCAAGATCTAGGACAGGTTATGTCAACACAAAGCGAATGCACAGCACCATCTGCTTTGAGCAATCATGTTGACTGCATGTTGCTTTGAGTCTCACATGCGAGTGAGCCAACCAAAGCCTGCCGGCGCGCTTCACGACACCGTGCAGCAAGCCTTCAGACTTGCAATGATCTCTCTTGAGGCATGGGTTGACATCATGGCTAAAAACGATTGGCCTGCCGCTTCTGCTGGGCTTTCTCCTGGAAAGAGAACTGCAAGAGCACACAATTCAATTCCAAGCAACTCCTCAACATGGCGGCTTATGAGACGCACCGGAACAAAATGCGCCCTTTGGGCAAAGGCAGGCAAGAGGTCCTTCGGAGCAAACGCTGCGATGAGCTCCGCCCCCAGAGCGTCAGCCTGAAGTCAGGCACAGTCTGACAAACTTTTCTCTGGAACGGGTCCCATCTCATAAGAGCTTAAATATAGCCTATCCATGCAGACCTGCAATTTTCCCGGCTACTGACCCCAAACTGTGATCAAAAAGTGAGACAGGAATTCACGCAGGTAACGTGAACGTACGCGTAGCAAATGCTCACCTGCTGAAATGACCAGCCAGGATCTCAATAGCACGTCTTGCACTGCTCTTCAAACACAAAGAGGTTCCACTAAAGACTTCTCCGAACAAATGACTACAATGTTTTACACAGAGTCCTGGAGGAGATCTCTGTGAAAAGATCTTTGCAGGATCTACGGATAGGATCTTTTCATATGATCTCTTGGCAATCTGCGGGCAAGATCTCCAAGAGAACCCTCCACTTCAGGATCTGTAGATCGCATCCTTTGCTACAGAACCTCGCGTGAAACCTTTGCAGGTCTTGCGCGAGATCTGTTGAGAGGATCTCTACAAAGAACTAGAGCAAAATATCTTCGGGTGGATTTTTCGAGGATCTCTGCGTGACAGCATCTCTTCGCAGGATCTCTTGACGTTGTGCCAAGCAATCTTTGCAGGCCTGTCTTCGATGTCTGTAATTTGCGCCGCACCACAGCGAGAGCGATCCGATCCACTCAATGTTCAAAATACACACTGTGCCACGACAAGAGCGATCTGACCCACCCAAAGTCTGCAGAGGATTCCGCGCCACAGCCAGAGCGAACCTACCCACCCATATCCCAAGAGCAATCAGGATCCCTTGGTAGGATCCCGGCGATTTCGTGCACAGGATCCTCCCTCTACGAGTAGGGAGCACACCCTCTCTTGGAAGGAAATCCAGGCTCTGCGCAAGACCTCTTGGCAAATCTCTGTGAAGGACCAGTGCAACACATCTTCGGATGTTTACAGAAGCTCTGCTGCTAGCATCTCTTGGCAAGATCTGTGTGCAGGATCTCTTGATCGAATCTCTCAAGATTCGCGCGCAGGATCCACAAGGGGATCCGCCATATGCTGTGGCGCAGTGCGAATTTTGAGATGCGTAACTGGACTTTGGGCAGGTCGGATCGCTCCACCTGCTGCGTGCGTGCGCGCGCAGGTGTGGGTGCGTGGGTGCACGCGCCGCGTGTGGGCAAGGCCTGTCTGCGGGGGCTGGCCTGGCGCAGCCCAGCAGCCCAGCACCCAAGTCCGACCCCAACTCGAGCTGGGCGGCTGGGCCAGCCGGGAGCTGGCGGGCGGCAGCTCTCCATCATCATAATCATCATCATCATCCTCATCGTGGTTATCATCATCGTCTGCTTGCGCCACTTGCAATGTCAGGGATGCTAAGTCATTGTTATCATAATTATCATCAGTGGCGTGGTTATCATCGTCTGCTTGCGCCACTTGCAATGCCAGGGATGCTATGATGATAGTTATTGTTATCAGTAGCGTGCTTATCATCCTGCTTGCGCCATGCTATGACGATCAATCATCGGTAGCGTGCTTATCGTCGTCTGCTTGCGCAACTTCCAATGCCAGGGATGCTATGACGATACTTATCACCAGAGCCGTTGTTATCACAATCATCGGCTGCTTGCGCCACTTGCAATACCAGGGATGCTATGATGATACTTACATCAGAGCCGCTGTTATCACAACTATCATCAGTGGCGTGCTTGTCATTGTCTGCTTGCGCCACTTGCAATGCCAGGGATGCTATGATGATACTTATCACCAGAGCCGTTGTTATCACAATCATCGGCTGCTTGCGCCACTTGCAATGCCAGGGATGCTATGATCATAGTTATCACCACAGTCGTATATTATATACATGTCAAAAGAAATAATCACGGTCAACATCAATGTCAAGCTGGATTCGGCTTGCAATGCAAGGGATGCTATGATGATAGTTATCATCAACGTTGTCGTCGTTATCATCATCGTCCGCTTGCGATGCAGGGGATGCGACGACCATAGTTATCATTCATTATAGTTGTCAGGCATCAATCACAACGCAGGACAAAATCATTCCCAACACTTTTGAGCTTCTGCGCCTCTTTGACAGCCGCAGTTGCTTTCTCTGCAATCTTGGCATCGTCCGAATCCAGGTCAACAGCCTGGACTCACAGCACCGTTGACAGACATCGGCCAAGGTGCAGGCTCCGGCCTCCACGAGATCAGATGCCAAGTCATGGAGCTTCGTTGCGCCAACAAAGGAAGAGGATCCCATGACCTTTGACACAAAGCATGTTGTCTTTCCAGTGCGCACGAAACGCCACACGCCTGCTCACAAATTTGGCTGGACTCAGAGATGAAACAAACGTGCCCAATGCCTATTTTCGCCGACCATCGTAGAAGCATGCAAGGTGGAAAAACATGGGCTTCAACAGATTCGGCCTGCTGGGCGGCTTCCTGCAACGCTTCATAGTCTTTACTTTCCAAGGCCTGTCTGGAGTTGGGAATGGATTTGCCTTGCTGGTTGCTCAGTTTGTGTGTGTGTGTTGTGGGTGTGGGTGTGGGTGTGGGTGTGCGTGTGGGTGTGCGTGTGGGTGGGTGGGTGGGTGGGCGGGGCGGGGGGCGGGGCGGGGGGGGCGGGGCGGGGCGAGGCGGGGGCGGGGCGGGGCGGGGGCGGGGGCGGGGCGGGGGCGGGGGCGGGGGCGGGGCGGGGTGGTGGTGTGTGTGTGTGTGTGTGTGTGTGTGTGTGTGTGTGTGTGTGCGTGCGTGCGTGCGTGCGTGTGTGCGTGTGTGTGCGTGTGTGCGTGTGTGCGTGTGTGTGTGTGTGTGTGTGTGTGTGTGTGTGTGTGTGTGTGTGTGTGTGTGTGTGTGTGTGTGTGTGTGTGTGTGTGTGTGTGTGCGTGTGTGTGTGTGTGTGGTGTGTGTGTGTGTATTTGCCTGCGTATAATTTGATTGGATTGCTTCAGCGCACGTGGCCTGCAAGGAACAAACATCGCTCAAAATCCGGGTGTTTGGTTCTAGAAAGGGCCAACACTTTTTAGAACTCTTGCGCAAGGATGACACCTAATGGCACCAACACAAGGAGGAAACCTGACCAGACCTGAGCAAGGACGTCCAAAGTCCAAAGCTGCTTGCATGTTGCTGCAGCGATTTCGCGCGGCCTGCTGCATCTCCTGAACTTTGCGACGGAGATCAGCTGGGTATTCTGCCAGGAATGCGCGTAGTTGCTCCTCTCTCTGGTGGTTTCCCATTGCCCTGGCACGATGAGATGTCAACTTACAGCACAATGAGGCTCTCGGCACAAATGACCAGCACGGCAACAATTTGAAAGAACAGATTGGCAAACAGTAAGGCTGGGCTTTGTCCATTCCAAATGTTGAAGTGCAGGCTCAGTCTGCGCGAGATCATCTGGCATCTGCCTTCAGAGCAGCTCTCTTTTCCCTCGGATCAGGGTTATGCCCTGCCTGGGAGGAGCAAATGCCCAGTCTCTGCCCTTCCATTGGAAAATTGGTGCTGAGAAAAGCGAAGCGAGAAACAAGGTCACACATGCCACAACAAACATGCAAGATCAACAGCAACATGGCCCCTGCAACGCACGGTTGCTCATTTCAAACTCGCCCTAAATCATGGACATGCCTGCGAGTAGCAGGGTGACAGCTGTCTACATGTTTGAGACTGCTTTGGCCACTGCGGCTATTCAAACTAATTCTGGATGCATTGTTTCTTGCCGTGACCTCCTTGAGTGAAAGTTTCTTGTTGTCAAATGGCGCTTTGCGCCATCTGTGGAAGTTCTGCGTCAGAGTCCTGCTGCTGCAAGACTTTGGCCAACAGCATCCTCACCCGTCTCAAACCTCTGGCTTTACCAAGGACGTCTCCCCCGTCACTGTGTTCCTGGAGCAGAAAGGACAATGCGCACCCTTCTGGCAATTACAAACCTAGCCTTTGCAAAAGTAGTAGACATGGCCAATGTGGCGGACATGCTCCAAAGAGCTATTTGACTTTACCACGCATGAAATGACGAAACAACCGTTCATACAAACACCAGACTGCTACGGCATCGGTCTGTGCTTGACACATCCGGTCCAGTAGTAGCTGATGCTGGCGTCACGTCGTGATTGTTTCCTTTCCCACGGAGGTGGTGGTTCAACCTGGGCAGGAAGGGGCAGGAAGGCTCTGCCAAGCCGTGCCAATTCTGGCAAACTTTCCGAGCCAGCCTGTTTTTCACCTGTGACGGTGTTGACATAGTAGAAAATACCCGCCTCACTCGGAACAAAGAACCTTTTTGCGTGGCTCCCGCAAGAGGCCTCTCGAGTAGACTCCACTCTCCTCCACTGTGAACGCTGCACCTAGCGGATCAACGCAGTGCGCAGTCTTTGACAAATGCAGTTCCAACAATTGCCTGAGGTTCCGGAAGTTCTGGCGGTGTGCGAGGAACTTGGCCAGCGACATCTGCAGGCTCCGGCACAGCCACCCGTGGCCTTCACACTAAACATCTCCAATGCAAGCAATGCATCAATCTCCACCAAAGTCAATTCTCCCTGGTGGGGGGTGCTGCCAATTGAAATAACAAATGCTAACAAGATAAACACAAGCAGCCATTGCAGAGAATCTGGCGCAGCCAATGTGTTCTGCTATTCATGCGCAGGCAACAGTATTCAAGGACCGCATAATATCAAAATGCAAGACATGACCAACACGCGCCAGTCAATTCATTGGCAATGTTTTGGCCTCAAGACAGAGAATCGTTGCAAGATGTTGCTCTCTGGAACAGCATGGGCAATATAAGGTCAAGCGCCTTAATTTTGCGAAACACAAGACTTGAGATGTGTCTAAAAGAATCTGGCATGTCACAAAGAAGCTGCCGCGTGGCCAGACAGCGTTAAACTAAACTGACTCTGGGTTTGCACAAGGTAACCTGGGAGATCAAGTATGGGTCTGCCTGACCCGTGCGAGCAACCGCAGAACAATAGGCGAATTATTTGAGCGGGAAACACATGTTTGGACGAGGAGATGAAGGGTACCAGGGTCGCTTGTCATCTTGCCTGGCTGAGGTGCAAAACCATCTCTTCGAGTGCATATTTGCAAGCACTCCACGATTTTGCAAACAAACACACAAACAAACAAACAAACAAACAAAGAAACAAGCAAGCGGACAAACAAACAAACAAACAAACAATTAAACAAGCACGCACACACGCAAAGCATCAGCGTTACACAGTGAGAATCGGAGACGCCCGCCTCTTGGCCTCGGGCTCTGGTGTTTCCGCGGGTTTTTTCGTATCCTTAGGAGTCCATTTGCCCCACGTCTCGTCATCGCTGTCATCATTGCCACCGCTGGGTGCGCCAGCGCTCGCTGCGTTGGCACTTGCTGCGTTGGCATTCGCCGACGAGCTCCAGGCGTTCCAAGAGCCCCCATCGCTTTTCCAATTGTTCCAGCTATCTGAGCTGTCCCAGCGCCAGTCCTTCCAGCCAGCGCTCGAGTTTCCATTGCCCTTGCTGCCACCCTTGTAGCCAACACTGTGCCCATTGTGATTCATGCTGCCGTTCGCCTGCCAGGATATCAAAGGCTGGCGCTGAGCGCAAAGCAAGACCCGCCTGCGCCGCTGGCATGATTGCTTGTGCATTTTTGGGAGCTGCGTGAGTCCGCAGCAGCTTGGTGGTTGCATCATATTGCCTTATGATAGTTCAGGCACTGCGCCTTGCTGGCGCAGCGCACTCACTTTCTAAGCTCGCGTCTTGAACACCTTGTGCAACTTGGAGTGCTGCCTGCCAGCTGCCTTGACCTCATGCCTCTGATCATGCAACCGCATGTTCTGACCTTGGGCTGTTTGTTCGTGCTGTACAAAAACTTGGACTCAGTGGAAACGGGCAAATGAAGTGAGCGGGCAAACGCATGAAAGGACGACCACCACGCGCATACAGCAAGGTTCGGCAATCAACAGACAGCAAAAGCGCAAGCAAACAAATACAAACAGAGCACGGCCAGGACACAATCACAACAAACACGACGACAAAAACAGCAACAACGACAACACCAACCTCCACAACAAGTACAACGACAACGGCTACAACAAAAACAGCTACAAATGCCAACAACAACGACGACCGTAGAATGCAACAACAATAACAACAGCATGAACGCTGACAACAACAGCAGCAGCACTAGCAGCACCAGCAGCAACAACAAGAAGAACACAAACAACAAAACGACAACTACAACAAACAAACAGGAACAGTAAGAACAACAAGGACAACAAAAGAAACAAGAGCAGAAACGACAACCCCAACAACCCCACCACCCCACCAACAACAGCTTAACACCACCAACATCAAGAACCAGAACACCAA